TCATAGCAGAAACGAAGTTTAGACTTAGTTGCGCACGGCAGTTTGATTTCTGCAGGAGCAGAAATTGATCTCAGTTCCAATACTTCTTTATTTTAACGCATACGCGTATCTTCCTGTGAGACATTTGGGAGCTGGGGAGGATGGGAACAAGAACTCCACTCCATTACAGCTTCACTATTGCACAAATATATTTTGAACAACTTGGAATGAATCTGGTAAGATTTACCTAACTTTCCCCAGCCATATAAGGGGCAAGGAGGTGGGAATCTGGCAGCACAGGCACACATGAAGGAAACAAAGGTAGGTTTGGTCAATACTAGTCACCAGGGTGAACCAGCTAGCCACATGCAGGTGTTTCTATTAGTTTGACACTGGTAAACATAGCACAAAAATAGAGGCTCACATAGATGGTCAACAACACACAGGGGGAAGATTAAGATTTTTCCTTTGAGGTCTTTCATTCACTCTTAACTCAGACACTGCACTCAACAACAGTCTTCATTCTTCCTCAGCCTTCAGGACTTTTCTGTCACCCTGCTTCTGTTACACTTCACCCCCTGCATGGGGCAGTTTTACTTACACTGTGTGCTTCAGAAAGAAGTGAGAGAATTTACACTTGCATTTCTTTGAATACATGTGGCGCTCTGACCAAAGCATGAAAAGTGTATATGAAAGTTGCTACTATTCTAAAAACAAGCAAAAAATGTCCCTCAAAACACACCTCCTGTTCCTCAGAAAAGACAGGAGTTAAGAAGTAAAGCCTCGTTTTATTCATGATATAGGTAAAACCACTTGGCTGATAAATGGGCAACACCAGATCACATGATCAGGCCATTCCAAAGACAACCACCTTTTCCATCAGGCCTCCTAGAGGGGGTCCTGCCCTTCCTCATCTCTGGTCACACCACTGATCTAGCTTATAACACAGCCTTGGCACAACTGACAGGATGTGACAGGAATCTCCAGTGCTGAGTTAGTAGTACAGTCAGCTCCACATAACAGTAAGCAGCATTACCAGCTCATGTCCTTATCTCAATCTTAAATAAATTAACTTATATTTCATTTTCAGTCTCCATGCCCATATCACACAGCTACTTGCCTTTTTGTCTTCGGGGTTTAGCTGGTTCATTAGCATAGTCATATTTTCAGTATTCCAGATCCAAGAATTGCTTGTAAAGTATTCTAATAACATCATGGCCTTATGAAGACGTGTTATTGTTTTCATCATCCTACAGTCCAAGGCATGGAATGTACAGGTTACAGTGGCAAAGTTTAGTTCAAACAAGAAAAACAGACAGTAAGACTATAAATTTTTTGCCTCCCAACCCCACACCCCTATATTAACATATCCCATCTTGCTCTGTACCCAAAGCATGTTATATTAGATCAAGAGGATATTTCTGCATATTTAATAATATGTAGACTTTGGCTGTCTAATCTTAATACAGAATCAGAAATTATAGGATAGTCCTTTTTTCCTAATCCAGTGCAATAGTAAGTTTCCTCCCTAGTTAAAAAAAAAAGAAGATATGGTAAAATGTTGTCTTCTGTTGGTAACTCTTACTTTAGGACACAGACACAGAACATTTTTCACTTCAGCATACTGGAATATCTAGCTGTGCTGAACAATTTGACTTGATGAAAGAGTCAAATTGCACAGTGCACAACATACGCAATATGACAACTTTAAGCAAAGGAGTAAGCTTCCCTGGTCTTCCTGCACACTGTGCAAGACCAGATCTCTGTAACAAAACAAAATTGGTTTATTATGGTCACTAAGAGATCAAGGCTTTAAAACTACCAGAAATATGGCTTAGCTCCTTAACACTGCTGCTTTTGCAGCAAAGGGCAGGAAGCTATTTAAGAGCACAGATAGATCATAGCAGATCCTGCTACTTAGGTGATCCATTCTATGCTACTCCAAAATATGCAGAAATACCTTCCATCATCCCTTATTATGCAGAGGAAGCAACTCTACAAAATCATCACTTGGAGTACAGAGAGATTATGTCATAAGGATCAATTTGGGCAAGTTTCTCTTGGATCAGAGTACCTGAAGTAGACCCAGAAAACTGCAGGTCATCCAGTCTCTCAGATGCAAAGTTCCCACATTTATGGCAAGAAAACTGTTTCAAGTGTTGCAGTGCTAGAGATGGGCACTCAATTTTAATAACTAGTACCACATAACCTAATGCTATTAAATTCCTGCTTTGGGTGCTCGAGGTATTTCCATCTCGCAGAACTGCTTCCAATTTGATCCTTATGGCAGGACACACTGATCATTTTAAGCAGAGTGAGAAGGGGGGTGGGGAGGGTGTGGAAGGCAAAGAAAGCAGAACAACCCAGCACTAACAGGAAATGGCTTTCTGAAGGTACGTTTTGTTCAATAGTTTATAGAAGCAATAAAAACCACTGATTCTTCTCCAAAAGCTTCCTTGATGAATTCATACTTGTAGAAGGGATATAGCACATTGTCTCAGAAACTCCTTCTAAAGAAAGTATTTTGCATCACATTAGTGTCCCCTACTGTCACTAATGGCTGGCATCTCAATATTTAAGGAATATCAAAATTGTCACTCTCTTTCTCATGGAATAATATTCTACTTTTCAGTGGTCTTTGCAATTTGTATCTTTAAAGCACAAAAAGCACAAGTATTTTTCTTTAAACCCCATAGGAACCTATCTACAGAGTAATTCAAAGTTGTATTCAAATTTTAGACCACCAGCTAATTTTATTAGCAAACACTTGTAGATGCTTCCAAACACCTGTTTATAGTTTCAGCAGTTGGGCAAGGTGGCAACAGTGGGAGACGAGCTGAACCAGAGCTACTCCAATTCAAAAAATAATTAGGAATATAGACTGTGCATCTAAAACATATCCTGTGCTATTAAGACTGAACTAAACATATAATAAAGCATATTAGTCAAGTCAAAAGTCACTGCTCAGGGCTAGCTGGGCATCGGTTAGTGAATGATAAGCAACTGCCTTGTGCATCACTTTTTTTTAATCATTGTTTTTCCTTCCTTTTCCGTCCTATTAAACTGTCTTCATCTCAACCCATGAGTTTCACCTTTTTTCCGATTCTCTCATCCATCCCACTGAGGGGGGAGTGAGGAGCTGTGTGGTGTTTAGCTGCCTGCCAGGTTAAACAACAACAATCCTTTCTGGCACTTAACGTGGGCCTCAGAAGGCTCAAAATAACGACAGGTTTGATTGGAATGTGCTAGATCAAATTTATAGCTGTTATGGCTGTTTAACTATCAATTGCCACACTCCTGTGCTTGTCACGGGGCTTGCTTTCTTTACTGTACTATTAGAGTCTAGTGCCCGTTAGTGGCTGCTTTTTGCTTTCACCGCTTACTGTCTTACTCTGCTGTGCCTGGGAACATTTTGGTAACAGCAAGGGTGATGCGCCTGGGCTCGCAGATGGCCAGGGCATCACTGCTGCTTCTGTGCTGCTGTACTGGCCAGGCTGGAACTCCAGTGTCAGCACTAGTTGAAGAGACTGTGACCTGTGGATGAGTCCACACAGGAGCACAACACCCCAAAACAGCTGTGGCCATGGATAAGCCCATGCCAGAGCAGGTACATCTCAAGGTGTTTGTGGCCATGGTTATGTCTGTGCCACAGCATGTATACCTCTGAAGGGATTGTGGCCCAAGGATAAGTCCACACTAGAGAAGCATCTGTGGCTGCTGATAAGCCCGTGACAAAGCGGGTACACCACTGGAGGGACTGCAGTCATGAGTAAGGCCATGTTGGAGCACGTTTACTTCTGCAGGGACTGTGGCTGTAGGTAAGTCCATGCTGGAGCAGGTGCACCTCAAAGTAACTGTGGCAGTGGATAAGTCTATACCACAGCAGGTATAGCCCTGGAGAGACTGTGGATCATAGATAAGGCTCCACTTGAAGCAGTTGCAGCCTTAAGGGACTGCAGTCTGTGGAGAAGTCCAAGCCAGAGCAGGTGAAAGGGGAGGAGTTCATTGCTATATTAAACCCTGTAACCTGGCCCAAAGGGACCAGGGATGGAGACTGTAATGGAAATACCTTTAAATTGTTGTAACCCATGATTTGAGTTGCATGTTATAGGAATTACAATAGCAGGAACCCCCTGAACAAACGGACGACAAGCCTTACAAGAAACAGTGCAAGTGCAGAAGTAACCTGACCTGAGCTGGCTTTGGTGACCAGTAGCTTCACACAACATACCACCTCTCCTGTCCTGAGTGACCACCATAACAGATGGAGCCCAAAGTCATGGACTAAATGAACTCAATGGACATTCTGTGGACATTTTACAAGAGTGGTCCATAGACTAAGGGAATGACATCTGTGTATTATATCAAAGGATGGGAAGGGTGGTGGTGAATGAGGATGTATTGGACAGCATGGGACCTGAGCATAACATAAACGGTATGAAATAAGGGGTGGAGAATGTGCTGGCTTTGGCTAGTACAGAGTTAATTTCCCTCATAGTAGCTAGTATGGTACTATGTTTTGGATCTGTGCTGAAAACAGCATTAATAATACAGGGATGTTTTTATTGCTGAGTAGTGGTTACACAGAGTCAAGGTCTTTTCTGCTGCTCAACCCATCCCACCAGCAAGTAGGCTGGGAGTGCACAATAAGTTGGGAGGGGACACAGCCTGGACAACTATGTCTTACAATAGTTTGAGAAGCACATCACAGGAATTAAAGGTTTTAAGCAACAGTTAGTTCAATTATCCATAAATTAAGTGGGCATATTTCTATACCAGACAACTGAAAGCGACCTAGCTTAAGGCTATGACTGAATTTTGAAGAAGTCTTATACACAACCTATTGCCTCCAGGCAAAAAATAGTTCTGATGCTAAATACAGATTGATCCTTCAGTGGATCTACAGGTTGCTAATCTGCAAGTCTCTGCATAAGCATTAGAGATAGTTAATTACGTATTTTCTTTTAAAGAAAACATAACTCCTCCAAAATACATAAAACAAGCTTTCAGATTTGTCTTTGTTCAGATTTTCATTTGGCTGTAAATTTTGAAGACATACTACTGGAATTCTTATGTCTCCAGCAGTTACGTGGTTCCTTTAAGTGTACAACTTAAAGAGTACTTCCAAAAGGAAAAACCATGTTAAACTACTCAAGTACTCTTTTCACATAATTACTGTCTTACAAACCAGAAATGAATAAGGTGCTTCATCTTAAATTTTAAGAAGCTTTAAATTGAAATGATAGATACGAAATCATGTCCTTTATACCTCCCTACATACATCAACCATTATCTTCCCTTTAGCTTTCTAAGAAGCAGTAACAGAAAATGAACTGCTAGAGAAATCCTCAAATTACAACTTTGAATATTTCACGCCACATTCTGTTCTTCCAGAGTAATTTGAAAGATCTGCTAGGTGTGTATTTTTAAAGGCTTTAATATTTCAAATATACTGAATTGTTTTAAAATATCATATGGTTCTGTTGTGCTACGCACTATGCAAAGTTACAAGCCAGAACAATGCCTTATATTAAGGTTAATTAGACAATTAATAAGCTTTGTTATGCAACTAAGTATATATGGTAAACTACTGACAACACTATCCTTAAACTTGGATGCTAAGGATTATCACCACTATTCATGTAATTGCACACTGCTATAACAGTCTAAAGTATTTAGTATAAAATATTAAATCTTCGTTATGCCAATACTTACTGTACATGTTATTTCTATAAAATTTGGAAAAAATATTATGTGCATTATTTCTTCCTTTCCTTGTTAATATTCTCAGAGAATTGTTAAGTTCAAGAACCTTCAACTAGATGCAAAGACAGCAAAAAGATACCCATCTCACTAAAAACACTGCTTCCACAAGTGAAGTGCAAAAGAATGATTTCATATTGCAGAAAGATTTCAGATAAGTTTTCAAAAAACCCTGAACAGGAAGATTTTTTTTTTTAATTATTACGATTATGAACATAATCCTTTACTTCTGAAGGGTCATAGACCTGACCTATTTCTTCCACTTGTTAAAATTTTCTCATTCAGTTGCAGTATATGATACCTTGACAGTATGACAACAGTGCAGTTAAACCTACACAGTTATTTCATTGCTTAGTTTCTCCTATATTGTACACAATAAAAACCTCAGAAGTATATTGAGGCTCAGCACAGAGAGGGCAGGCTATTGACCATGTGAAGTCAAGTTACGACAGTATTTGAATTTTCTTGTGCTGATTTTACCACAATTTTTACTATACTGCTCAAGTTTTTCTGCTAAATCGTGGTGGAAAAGGTCACATTTTAGATTAAGCCAGCCCTTCTTCACTCAGAACGGTATTATATTGAGTTTAAGAACCTCCAATAATGTTTCCAAGGCTTTAGAAGTTTCCTAGTACATGCTACCTGGTAATTAAAACCATTCTGTCAACTGTACAGAATGACCACAGCAACAGTAATACATCCCTATGCCATGAGTGTCTCCAGCCCATCAGTTAAAGCAGCTTTCAAAGTATTTTGAGCCAGAAGACTAGAAAAAAGTAGAAAAGTAAGGATCTGCCTCAAATTTCTTCTATTATTAAACAACACATGCAGCTCATTAGGATTTAACACTGCGTGTCTTGCTTGCATCTATGTATTTACTTGCTTCTACTGCTCCTATTGCAGGCTCACATTTTTTTAATGCTAAAAAAAAAAAAGAGAAGACAACTAGAGCACTACAGAATGAAAGCTATCTCCCCTGTAAGTGGGCTGGGTATCAAACTTAGAAGCTTTTTCTTTCAAGTGCATTTGAGTAACCTCAGTGACTAAACAATAGCTTGTTTTAGTTGAATCTCCCATCTTTCCTCCAAACTGGAAATTTGTGCATGACAGGAAACTCACTCACCCACTAACAGTATGAGACACTGTTATGTCTCATGTATATATACACACACTGAGTGTGTGCACACACATATATATATGTGTGTGTGTGTACACACACACACACACTGAATACTCTTATGAGTAATACTTCACAGGCTAAAGAATACGTATTTAATGTCACCAGTTGTACTAGTTCTGATTAAAGTTCTAAATTCCATCTCTGGACATTAAATAAGAACTCCAGGAAAATCAAAACCAAGATTCAACATTCCCAGCATTATAATATAAAACTGCTAAGAGTGTTCTAAATAACATGAATATTCACAGACTTGTTTTACTCCCACTGGTCAAATACTTAAGACTAAACACCTTTTAAAGACTGACAAGATTCTGGCAGCGTTACTTCCTAACCATCTGAAAGACAGTAGGTTGGCATTTATAGTATAACTATTTTTAGTGAGCAATGAAGTCTTCACATCTGTCAGGAATTTCTATCAATTTTTATTAAGAATAATTTAAAACTACAAAAGAACCTAAAAGCCAAGAGCTTGTATGTTCAATACTTTCCTTTGATCTGAAGAGCTTACATTTTTTTAATGTGGGAAGATTACTACACAGGCACAGCCTCCTGCCACTACTGTTGCTGTGAACATTACACTATTGAGTAAGCTTGGAACAACAGAACTCAAGGCAGTTCAGTTTTCTCCTACAAACCACTTACATGACTTCCTTCTACCGATCCCGTGCCAAGTCTGTTATAGAACTTTTCCCCTCCTTGTGTAAGACAGGCCTAGACTACAGGACAATGAATGAATACTCACTTGTGTTAATACACTGTCACCACAGAGGAGATTTTATAGAGTCTGAAGACAAATACTTTTGAAAACATAACATATGCAATGAGTTAAGATCATATGCCTCGGCAAATCTGAAACAAATTGAAGTGACATCTTATATTCCTTCTACATAGTTTAGTTTAGCCTATTTAGCAGAGCTATGCCATTTTCACCACTTAAGTTAGCAAGATGCTAGTGTAAATATTATAAACTGAATGGAATGTTGAGAACATACAACCCAACATAACACATCAAGTTGTATCACCTACAGAAATAACCTGCAATTATTAACTCAGTCTCCCATTCCATTTTCAGTTTATAATAGCAACAACAATCTTAATGCAAGCCACTTCCTAGAGTTTAATGACCGATTAGGATTCTGATCTGAGACATACCTCAGACAGCACTGTTGAGCCAGTCATTAATCTCTTCAAAATGCAGCCATTGGATTGTTATTGCTTATAGTTAATAAACCTAGACAGAGCCCATGCCATGTCTTCTTCACAAGTTTCCACCACCTTACCAGCAAGATATTTTTAGCCCTGTCCTCTTACCATGGTTTATGACCTGTCAATCTGAGTAAAAGATCGTACAAAAATGCAGGCATTGTATGGCTGACTGTAGTCCAATATTGACACAAGAGGGGGTTGGATTGTAAACTAAAGCTAGGGTGCCTTACTGCACATTCTAACGGATTTATCTTGAAATTCAAATTAATGTGGTAGCCTGTAGGAAAAAATAAGGATCAACACATTTTGAATAGTTATTATACAAGAACAAACATCACTTGTGAGATCTTGTAATTCTGTTTACCTTGACTACTCAAACCCCCAAACTATCCACCAAAAACATCCTCATTTTTGCTAGAAAGTTCAAAGTCACTTTGAATTCAAGTACCTGTTCTCAGGAAAAAAAAGGCTGAGTTTTAGCCACAAAGCATTCAGGGGCAGAAAAAAAAAATTAAAAAATAATCAACATACATAATAGCGTAAGCATAGCTTTGTTTAGAAGTCAGAAGAACAGACAAGACAGAGCTAGTCACCGTTACCTTGGGCTTCTTCCAGTAATCCTGAGGTAGATATCATACAGGAATGCTGGGGCCTTATGGCTTACAGCAATCCAGTAATGATATAAAAGGTGATTAGAAGTTAGATTTACATTGGGCCGTCTGAAGGCCTGTTCAAGAGGATTCCTCTTGAAAGTAGAAATTACATGGTATTCTGAGAAAGAAAAGTTGTGTTAACAGCTTTGATAATAACCATGTAAAATTTAATGGTTTTCAAAGTACATTACAGTGTACAATATTTATGTCAGTATGTTATTTATATAACCAACCTAACTCTTCTACAATTCATAAAAACTAAAAGAAAGTCATAAGTTTTTAACCTAAAATACTGTTGAACTGGTTCTTATTATAGTCAAGACATCTTTTATGCCTTCATCTTCAGTATCACATTTTATTGTAGCTTCTCTCTTTCTGTTCCTCTTCCCTACCTTAGAAGTTGTTGGTTTCAAAATTCACAGCAATTTCACTTTTATATAAAGTGTAAAGCTATTTAAATAGTCATCTATATTTCACAAAGGCGGCTATTCTGATCTCGTGTGAAGAATAAATTGAAAACAGACCAAGGACTTTGCAAGCATCTGAAGTGCATTTCAAATTACTTTTAAACAACTTAGGCATTGAGAAAAAAGCGGTTAGGATGGTGCTCCATGTGAAACTCCTGCTGACACCTGAAAATTCTGTACATGACAGATATGCAGGATCAGCATCTTAAAAAGTTATGTTCCTTTTAATCAGCTCTTGCAACTTTATGCTGTTGTTTATAGACAGCATTTAAACAACCTGATTCAAATTGGGATATAAATGAAGTCAGCAATTTTCCAAGTTTGGCTGAAGCAATAAGGTTTATAAATAAGATGTATATAAAATGGGCAAACACAAATAAAAAGCATGAAGAAAGCAGTAAAGAGAAATAAAATAAGTAAGTATTGAAGTTAACTGAAAGAAAAAAAATAATCTGAACATAAGAACTCTATTTCTGAAAAACTGAAAGCTAATGAACAGCTTTACCATGCCAGGCAGCTTGTATTGCTATTTATAACAAAAGCTATTAACAAAGCTTTTGGCGTGTGGGTTACATTCTAGTCAGGATATTTAAGAGTTGAAAATAGGTGGCCATACTTTCTTAAGGATTACTTTTCCATGTACATGAACAGTTGGAAGTCTCATGTCTGAAGATTAAAAAAGCCACTCCAGCCAACAATTAACTTAGACCAAATACAACAAAGAGCTACACAAGTGCAAAACTATTACCATACCTCTCAATTATGCAAATGTACAAAACATCTAATTGTGGGCTGTTTATCCATTTGTATTTAGTAAGGTTGGCATTAAACCCACCATCACTACAGCTCCTCTGAATGACGCTCTT